AAAGCGGCTCGTCCCCGTGCTTTAAAAAATGTTGCTATTAAGGATCTACCAGCGACTTGGAAATCCAACAAAAAGGCATGGATGACCCGAGAAATCATGTCTGAGTGGTTAGTCGAATTCGACCGGAAAATGAGAATCCAAAAAAGGCAAGTTCTTTTATTTTTAGACAATGCATGCTCTCATCCTCGTGATATGAAAATGAAAAATGTGAAAATTATATTTTTACCGCCAAACACAACTTCTGTTTGTCAGCCCATGGATCAAGGTGTCATACAGAACTTTAAATTTTATTATCGGCACTTGATTTTAAAACATATTTTAACAAAAATTGACGATGGTCAAAGCTTATCTGAGCTTACAAAGTCTATCAAGGTGTTAGAAGCTTTGTATTTTATAAAAACAGCATGGAATAAAGTAAATTCCTCTACAATTAAAAACTGTTTTGGCAAAGCTGGATTCAGAAAAAGTGAATGTAGCTCAGAATTTGCTAAGCAAAATTATTGCGATGCTGAAGACGATCTGCCCTTAGCGACACTTGCTCAGTTACTGTGACATGCCAAACATTTAGGAGTAGCAAATCCCCAGAAAGTAGATGATTTCCTGGCCATAGACAATAACATAACAACAGAAGAAAATGCCATTGGCATCTTTTCGAATTTGGATGTAGAAAGCCCAGGCCAACTTGAATATGGTAGTCCAAACGACTCAGAAGAAGAAGTGGAACTGGTGGACTCACTAAGCGGTTCAAAAACGATAAGTTCATATGGGGAAGCTCTAAATCATATTTCTATATTGAAAAAATTTGCTAAAGATGATTTCACTGCATTTCAACATTTGAAAAATTTAGAAAGTTATTACGAAAATTGTCTCCTTCAGCAAAAGATGGTGAAATTTCGTCAGACAAACATTTTAAACTTTTTTCAACAAGCTAAAGAATAATGTTTTTTTAAATTCTCGTACCATGTATTGAAGCATTTATGTTTTTGTATGCGTATATGTACATATATTATATAGATATATAGCATAAATACATACTTTAAAAATGTGGCGAGTTTCTGTTTCATTTTTCTCATGATTATAATACCTCATTTCCTCATGGTTATATACCCCGTTATTTATACTCTATACTTACATACTCTCTTTTAAACGGACACCTCCCATAAGCGGACAAAAGTTACGGAACCGTGAGTGTCCGCTTATGGGAGCTTTCACTGTATATGTAAAAGTTAACCATTTTGTAGAGAATTAAATTCTGTATCATTTCGTATCCACAAAAATTCATATAGTCAACACGTTACGAGAAATTTGAAAATAATGATATTTTCGCTCGTAATGGCTAAAATCTAAGAGTATCAAACACAACTGCAGCAATTCACAGTCTAACTTGCTGCCACATCTAGTGTATTCAGTCAATATTCTTCTCTTGAAACAAATTTTTAAACATGTTAAACAACAAGTTTTGCTTTTCAAGCCCAATTCAACATACTAAGTGGATCTTTCTGTGATAAATTCCTTTTTGGAATAATAAAACTAAATTGAATGAGTGTTTTGTTAGAATTAAATGTTACCTCCGAATAGCCGATATATTCTCCATTGGGTCTCAATAGGTTAAAATTCACAATAGCTCCCTGATGAGATCTGTTATCGAACACAGTGTCGTGATATAATACTGCAACCGGTTGGCCATTCGAATGATGCATCGTGATCAAATTTCTATAAGTATACTGCGCCAAACTGAACACATGTTTTGATATTAGATCAAAATTCAAACCAAGCCTGCGTATTGTATCGAAGCCATGCTTCACAGCAAGAATGGACAGAAATGGTAATGTCCCATCTTCGAATCTGAAAATTAAAATACTTGGTTTTCCACAGTTGCTATTAGATTAGTAGAATTAGAGATAAACTGCGATATAAAATCCCACATCCCTATAAAAATGTCAATACAGTGGACCTCCAGTAATCCAACAAACATTATGCAGGGCAGTGTCGGACTATCGAATTTGTCGGAATATAGAGCAATGCCTAAAACCCCCTATAGTCCGGAATTTTTTACAAAAGAGTACCTTGTAATCCGACAAATTACATATCCAATGGTAAGATTATATATGTTATGTTATGTATGTACTTTGAAGTACAAATCATACATAGTTTATGTATGTCGAATTTAGTAAATTAAATAACAATAGAGAGCTTACGTTTTATTATAAAATTAAGCATAAATGCACATACATATGTACCAAAATAATCAAGAAACTCATTAATAAATTTATCAAATTACGAAGCTTGGAAATATTCATCAATTTTTTTTTGTTTAAGGTTGTTATAACGCGAGATCAGAGCTTTGTCCCTCAGTCTTCTCAAAAGTAGAAGTTCCTTGTATGATGTACCATTATCTTCAGCCCATTGTAAACCTAGCTCAAAGGCGTTAATTGCGTCTTGTGCTGTGACTTGTGGAGCAGTTGCAATCACGTCGTCGTTATTTTCCTGATTGTTTGTTGTATAATTAAAAACCTCTTTTATAATCTCTTCGTCAGACATTTCATGAAAAATATTTTCCTCTTTATCCATTCCACGGCACCAGATTTCCAAATCTTCCGGACTTATATGTGTTTCAGTAGCGACTTGTTCTATAACTTTCGAAGTTACACTGATTTGTGGAACGTTGCTAGGAGTGGTGACTATATCTGGCCATAACTATTTCCAAGACGATTTAATGATGACGGTAACGCATTCCACGACTGACAAAGAGCAAAAACCAAGTCTTTCATATTAAATTCTTTTAAAGTTTTTTCTATTGGTTGGTCTTTTGATACGGCTCTCAGAAGTAGGTTTTTCTTATAGTCTTGCTTGACAAACTGAATGATATTCTGGTCCATTGGTTGAACCAGTGCAGTGCAATTTGGCGGAAAAAACATCGCAGTGATGCATTTATCCTCAGATGTTGGTTCTTCTTCAGACGGATGACCGGGAGCGTTATCAAGAAGCAACAACGCTTTTTGAGGAAAATTATGATATTTTAACCATTTTCTAACTTCAGGTACGAAGCATTCATCAAACCACTTTTTGAAAAGGTCTTTTGTCGTCCATGCACTTTTTTCCGTAATAGTGTACAGGTCAATGTTTTTGAATGCTAGTGGTTTATTAGATTTCCCAATGACCATCGTCTTTAGCACGTGTGTGACCGCAGCGTTAGCACATGGTAGTATGGTTACACGCACATACTTTTCATCCAGGTACGGATTTTTCGTTACAAGAAACGAAAGTTTTGTTAGGCATCACACGCCAAACAAGCCCTGATTCGTCTGCATTGTACACGTGTGACGGGTCAAGATTTAAATCGGTCACCTTTTGCAAAAATCTTAATTTAAAGGGCTCTATGCAGGTGGCATCGTTAGAAAGTTTCTCTCCTGTAATAGTCATTAAACGTATGCGATGACGACTTTTAAAACGTTCTAGCCATCCTTTGCTGGCCACAAAATCATCTTTTTTTGTTATTTCCTTATAAAAAAACTTAGCTTTCATGGTCAACATGGGACCTGAAATTGGCGCATGCCTATTTCTTTCCTGAAGAAACAACATGTACAAAGCTTCTTCCACTTCTGGATGTTCAGCTTTCTTGAGTGTCTGTCTCTTGCCTGGCCCGCAGTCAGTAGTTGACACGAACTTCTTAATCTTCTCGTGGTTTCTTTTAATGTCATAAATTGTAGATCGGCCTACGCCGTATTCACTTGCTAAACTACTGAAAGTTTCATTGCGATTTAAGCGGCTAAAATATCACATTTTCCTTTAATTGTCAATGTTTTGTGCTTTCGCTTCTGAGTTTGTGATGACATTACTAGGTACTATACTTAATACACAATGAATAAATAGTAAACAATGATCGCACGCTAGGCCGTACCGCTATCACAAGTAGTCAAACTCAAACTAAGTAAAACAATGCTTACGCGTCGAGCACGATAGCGGTGGCGCGTAGAAGTTGTAACCTGTTCAAACCTGCGAGATCTACATTAGCGAAGATTGTCAAATACGTATGTATGTAATATTCAAAGACATGTCGGATTACAGGGGGCGCCGGATTAGACAGGGACCGGATTATCGGGGGTCCACTGTAGACCTTTTTTGTCACAAGCTGAATATAATTTTCTTCTCTGTGATCATATACAATGATGCTTCATGCTTTTTAGCAATCAAAAGTACCACCCTCAACTACTTATAGGAGGAAGAACCACCTCTTCGCAACCCTTTCTGTGCTTAAAGCATTAATAATACATTTCCCAAAGAGTATATAATCAGTTTTGTTAACATGGATTTTTCGAAATGTACTACTACGAGGGATGTCTTTTAAGTTTTGCATATAGAAACATAGTAAGCCGCGCGGATCGAACGTCAGTACTGAATCTTAACCTCACTCTTTAGTAAACTACTAGTAAACTACTACAGTGTGGGTGCACCAAACACCGGCAGTCAACCAGGAAAACGTCGATGCTGTGCGCAAACTCATCATTGAAGAATGACATGTGACATATCGCGAGATTGAGGCGTCCTTGAAGATCTCAAAGACCTCAAGTCAAAAAATTTTGCATGAAGAATTAGAAGTAAGAAAATTAGTTTCCCGTTGGATACCCCACCTGTTGACTGAAGAGCAGAAAGCAGCCAGGGTTAATTGGTGTCAAAAAACGCTTGACCGTCTCAATTCCGGAAACTCAAAAAATGTGTAAAGCATTGTTAGTGGTGATGAATCGTAGATTCACTGTTATGAACCAGAAAATAAACGACAGTCGGCTGTTTGGGTGTTCCAAGGTGCAGAAAAGCCAACAAAAATCATCCGTTCTCGAAGTGTTTCAAAAAAGATGGTTGCGACATTTGTGTCAAAAGCGGGTCATATTGCAACAATTCCTCTTAATGAGCAAAGAACTGTTACTTCGGATTGGTATACCACCATTTGTTTGCCAAAAGTCATCACCGAGCTTCGAAAAATCAACCCCGAAAGAAGAATCAGCCTCTACCAAGACAATGCAAGCTCGCACACAGCTCAAAAGCAATTTTCCGACCTGCGTGAAGAAACTGGACAGTTTTCGGACTGACACGGACCTGGCGATCTAATCAGCAAAAACGTATAATTCCTCCATAGGTGCACATTTTGCAGGTTTGCAGAAACGTTGGAATAAGTTGTTAAAGTCCACGGGGATTATGTAAAGAAGTAAAGCACTTTTAAACCATAAATCGCAGTGAGCTATTGTCAGACAAAGAACTTTTCACCCTACCCTCGTAGTAGCGTTTAGCAAACACACCTTTGATAATACATTTACGTGTACTGAAACACCATTCGCATCGAGAGAGTTCATGAAAGTGTAATGGTGCGCCCTGAGACGTCTACCAGACATCGTTCTCAAGAACTGGGTATTCGTCGCACGTCATATGCACTATTTTAAAAACAGACTTGCATTTGCGGCCATACAAAATTCAGTTAAACCCAAGAACTACAGCCTAGTGACCATGAAAGTCCACGACAATACAGTGTTGCAATATTGCAGCTTAATACCCAAAATAACGATTTTTACCAACACCTGATAATGGGCCACCCTGTACCTATTGCTTCCATAGCACAGACAAACATCTATCTTTTTTTGCAAACCAAATATTTACGAGGGTGGTCCCAGAAGTACCCGACCCAGCGAAGAAAACACAAAATAATAATAAGTTCGATACCCTTTTTAATAAGAACTGTCTTGCTCCTCAAAATAGCCATTAACTGCCGACATCACTTCTTCATCGCTGGAAAATCTTTGACCACTGAGCCATTTTTTCAAGTTTGGAAACAGAAAATAATCCGAGGCGGCTAAATCTGGTGAATAGGGTGCATGAGGTAGCAACTCAAACTTAAATTCGTTAATTTTCTCCATTGCAATAACGGATTTGTGAGCTGGTGCATTGTCTTGATGAAACAAAACTTTCTTCTTAACCAAATGCGGCCGTTTTTGCTTGATTTCATCGCTCAAACGTTGCAATAAGTTCGCATAATACTCGCCGTTGATAGTTTTACCTTTTTCAAGATAGTCGATGAAAATTATCCCACGCGCATCCCAAAAAAACCGACGCCATAACCTTGCCTGCAGATGAAACGGTCTTCGCCTTCTTTGGAGCCGATTGTCCCTTTTGGGTCCATTGTTTTGATTGTTCTTTTGTCTCGGTTGTGAAGTGATGGACCTATGTTTCTTCCATGGTTATGAAACGACGCAAAAATTCTGCTTTGTTGCTGTGAAACTTCGCTAAATACTCAATTGAAACATCTTCACGACACTGTTTTTGCTCGATTGTGAGCAATCGCGGTACCCATCTTGTACACAGCTTTCTTATGTCCAAATATTCAGATAATATGCGATGAACCGCACTTTTTGAAATGCCTACTATGCCCGCTTGCTCGCGCACTTTCAGTCGACGATCATTAAGTACCGCTTTGTGAATTTTCTTCACCATTTCTGGAGTCGTCACCTCATTTGGTCGACCACTGCGATGCTCGCCTTGGCAGCTCAAACGGCCTCGTTTAAACTCTGCTACCCAATATTTTACAGTTGTAAACGAAGGAGCAGACTCATCCAGTTCATCTTTTATAATGGTTGGGCTGAGGCCTTTGAAATAAAAGTATTGTACCACATAACGATGACCAATTTTCTCCATTCTCACAAATTCACCGAAAACGTTCAGTATTGTTGGCTGCCAAACAAATACTAAACAACGTGGCGTCCTCAAACTTGACACATATGCTTTATAGATTGCATACTTTCTAATACAATGATATTTTTCAAACAACTATCGCCATCTCTAGTCAGGCCGGGTACTTCTAGGACCACCCTCGTATTTAATTCAAAATTAATATTGTTGCTTACCTTTCATGTAGTCTATTTCTCGGTACCATAACATTTTGGGAGCTTAGCGCCATTTGCACCGTACCTCCACCAAAATATTTCTTCACGAGCATTTCTTCGCTCGTCTTCTTCACCAAAAGCGCTCCTAATCCGGTGGGATACCCAAAAAGTTTGTAAAACGATATACACACAAAATCTGGTTTCCATAACGAAAGGTCCAAATGATTCGTGGATACGTAACAAGCACAATCCAAAACTACGTACCAGCGCTTGCAAGGTACTTTTACAAGCTTGTTAAGCTTTCCAGCTTTTACCCTTTCAATCCAAGATAGCGGAAACTTCGTTCCTGAGAAGTTACATTGAGCAGGATATACAAAGAGACCATTACCAGCATCACTTAGTGATGAGGTTTCTTCGCTATGATCTTCGATTTCGAAAGCATCTTCAACTTTCACCTCGGTATATCGTTTGGAAAAGCACCTCATTCCAAGAACTGATGTGTGGTTGTGCTGGAGGTATGCCAGCGTGCCATTTTCTCCATAATCAAAGCATTCTGCGATCGTCTTCAGAGCTGAGGTAGCACCAGATGTAAATACAATTGAATACTCCTGATCGTTGGTATTGAAATGATCTAAAATACTAATTATACTTCAAACAGACTGTAATATAAAATTAATGAGAGACAGGTCCAAACGAAGAAGAATTGTGACTGAGCTTAGTTTATAACTGAAATTTTACATGTTAAAATAGACCAGATGAACACAGTATTTGTGACATGACAATTTTTTGCTTGTATCTTATGTATTTGAGACGCTTAAATCAAATCTAAAAACAGAATTTCTCGGCGTTGATGCGATGACGCACATATATAATGTCAAGACCGGTCTATTCATGTTTATTATATGCGAGCTCTATGTTTAGAGGGCATATTGCGTTTATTAGTAGACTAATAGCAGCCGAGTCAGTTATGTTTTCTGTGTTGAAGAGTACTGATATGTTCTGAGTACTGTTAACTTTTGTTAAAAGGGTGTGTTGTTTTTAGTTTATTGTGATCGAGACTAGCTTTATGGACAATGCCTAGAAATTGTGTAAATAGAGCGAACAGTTTTTGTTATGTGTGTGGAGAGCTAACTTTTAAATCCCAAAAACGTACTTTTACTCCCCTTGTGTTGAAAGCATATGAACATTATTTTGGAATTAAAGTTGGCGACCAAGATAAACTATGGGCCCCTCATATGTTGTAAGACTTGCGTAACGTTGTTAACAGGTTAGTTAAAAGGCGACAATCGTAAAATGCCCTTTACGGTATCAATGGTTTGGAGAGAACCGAGAGACCATACTACTGATTGCTATTTTTGCTTCATAAATATTAAAGGTATTGGACCAAAATCGAAACATACGGTTAAGTATTTTATTACACCATCAGCTTTGCGGCCCGTAAGCATAGTGATGAACTTTCCGTCCCAGTTCCACCAGAATCTTGGACTTTGGATGAAAAAGTCGAATCCACCGATTCTGAATGTGATGGTACAGAAAGCGTAAAAATTTCCGATCCTTCGTTTGACCTGCCAGGATGTTCAACAGCGCCGCATTTAATCACACAGGCAAACTTAACTAAATTTTTATGAAATAGTAGAGCTTAAGTGCTGGTATAAGTTATCATGGATGACAAGATCTTCAGTGAAGCTACATATATTTTTTTGCTGCAAGTATTCGCTTATTCCTGCATAAAATTTGCTGCAGGGATTTGTTATTGTCAAGAATCATCGATTTTCAAATTTGTGTTCTACTGAAAAATGCATAATCGTAAATTGAGATTGGAAATGATAGTAACAACTTAGCCTTTGTAGTGATTAACATACAAAAAAAATCTGCAAAAATGTTCAACAATTTAAATTTATCATTGTCACGATTTATTCTAATGTTATTTTCTTATCAAGAGCACCGTTGTAACAAATTGAAAATATGACGCCCCTTCTAACAGCTTTTCATTCCCTACACATCTGCTGTCCACTTATTCTAATTTTTCATACTGTTTTCAACACACAGGAGAATGTGATTTTTTTCAACTTTGATGTTTAATAAAAAAAATCGGTTAACGATTTTTTATCGACAGATAAAGGAGAAGGAACCTTTTCAGTTACACTGATGCATATATACTAAGTGACCTATAAATCCGAACACCCAGTTTAAATGGTTGGTGAATGTATTTATATTACTGTAAATAACAAGTGAAAAAATTTTCAGCCTTATCAGTTGGACATTCCGGTTTTATACTGCTTTTTTTTTAATTCACTAACGCCCTAAAAATGAATATTTCAGCCGCAGTAAAGAATCAACGTTGGCGGATTTTGGTTCTTGACATCCTTTACGATCGGTTACGATGCCTAGAGTACGGAGACCTGTACGATTTCGTCAACTTATTGAGTTTGATAGGGGCCGTATAGTGGGACTTCGGGAAGCTGGACTTTCTTTTCGGGCAATTGCAGTTAGAGTGCAAAGAAGTGTAGACACTGTGGTTAGGTGTAATGTCAGGCATGGCTTCGAGAAGGCCGTACGCAAAGAGCAAGGGGCACTGAACGCCGCCGTAGAACAACAGACCGTGAAGATCGCCGCCTAAGATTATTGGCCTTAAGGGACCGTTTCTCCACTACCAGGTCCATTGAAAATGAATGCAGAACACGGAAGACCTATTGGCATGCGAAGTGTTTCCGACGAATAAGAAGTTTCGGCTTGTTTTCATACCGGCCACACTAGGTCCTCCCTTTAACTCGAGAACGCCGACGTGATCGCCTTGAGTGGTGCAGACAACGGTCACTCTGGGATCAGGAATGGAACAGTATTGTCTTTAGAGACGAGTCTCGATTTTGTTTAGGCATGAACGATGGTCGTGCCAGGGTTAGAAGGCGACGTGGTGAAAGGAGGAATCCACAGTTTTTGTTGAAAGACATGTTCATCACACTGTTGGAGTTATGGTTTGGGGTGCTATAGCTTATGGTTCCAGGTCACCTTTAATCTTCATCAGAGGTAACAAGAACGCGCAGCGTTATATCCACGAAGTTCTAGACCCCATCTTTACCCTATCTTGACACCCTGGCAGATCCAACTTTCCAACAAGGTAATGCCCGACCACATGTTGCAAGAGTCACAATAGACTTCTTTCAACATAATGATGTTACATTGTTACTATGGCCACCAAGATCTCCCGACTTATCCCCAATTGTGCACGTGTGGGATATGATGGTAGGAGATTGCTCAATTTGCAACGTCCTCCTCAGACTCTAGAAGCACTTCGAGAGGAGTTGGTGGTTGCCTGGAATGAGATACCACAGGAGGACATTGACCACCTGATCATCCACACATTATTAAAGATCAAAGGGCTTTAAAGCAGTGCAATCATTTTGAAATTTTATCATTTACTTATTATGCTTCATTAAGTACTTATACAAAATTTATTAAAATAAAACCGTTTAAACTGGGTGTTCGGATTTATATGTCACTTAGTATAATTCCTCCGCAAATCCGTATTTTTTACAAAAGATCTGTTTTTCAATAAAGTTTGGATATGCTATTTGCAGTTCAACACTTTTAGGAAGCAAATGTTGAAAATTAAGCTAGAACCAAGTCATTTCATTTAACAACAATTTACTTCAAGGATCCTATACCAAGAAAGGTTCGGATTTGAGTGTCTCTTACCGAAAACGAACCAAGTCGACTGCATCTTCTGTAAGTTTACCAGACATGTTCATAGAATGAGGATTGTCATAAATATTGGAGGTGAGTTCCGTGAAAACATGCTGCATTTGTTTTTCTGAATACAATGTAGCTCCTGCATGGTCCAAGTAAATATTTTCTGAAATAAGTTGCAATCATTACAAACCCGATGACCATTGTCTTGCTCACTGTCAACAACTTCAAAACCTTCACCTAGCTATTAAATGACGGACTGTTCCTGAACATTTGAGTGTAAGCAAGGCCAAATTTTTAAAGGATTATAATTCATAATTTTTTTAATATTGAACATCTCTTTTCAGTCGTATTTAGTCTAGTTTTATGGGACAACAATTCGTAAATATTTTATTTATTGGTCGGATGGTCATATTTAGATGTGAAAAACAGGACACCATGATTATTGACCGAATAAACCTCATACAGGGTGACAGGTAAATAGGTGTAAAACATTTTAGGAGGTGATAGTACAGCTCCTTTGCTATCAAAATTAGTATATAGTACCATACCCTATATTCAAAGGTTAAAAAGTTATCGAAGATTTAATTTTTTTTAAAACAACCCAGATTACAGAGTAAGATAGTTGAGATAAAAAAAAAGTTGGTGATTAAACGTTCTTTTTTGGTGGTTTCAGGTTATTATTTAAATAAATAGTTCTCATAAATTAAAAAACATATGAAAAATACTACTGAAAAAGTATTTATTTTCATTTAAATGTTAAATGAAAATCCTTATTTTCAACTTTACATTAAGAAGTCTTTTTTTCAAAAAACTCATAATAAAGAAAATGTACAAATAACTGCAAAAACTTCCTCGTTTCATTAGGCCTTCCAAAATGGTATAATAACATATCAGTGAGTAAACCATTAACAAAACAATATTACTTTGCTAGAAAGGACCCCGCTAAGCGCATTTCATTGTACTGAGCAGTTAAACCGAGCCTTCGATGGTTCGACCCTTTTTGTTATTTTTGTGCCCTGTGCCGTTTATTCGGGTTTAAGTATTCGGAATCTGTCGTCGCTCCTCGGAAGCAAGCTCTTCGTGTGTTATGGATTGACACAGCTGACGGATCAAGGAAAGGGAAACTAACGCTTAGGTTAGTTAGTAGAATATCAACCTTTAACGAGGTAGGACGTACTTTTACTTTTTGATCAGTTTTAATAATGGCGAGTTACCGTAACGAAGACTACGCTGATATTCTGTTTTGTTATGGTTTAAGTGTTGAAATTCCGTTGAAGCCAGGCGAGAATACGAAAACCGTTTTCCGAATCGGTGAATACCGAGTCATCGAGTATTTGCTTCTGTGTACCAACGCGTCAAGGAAAGTGGACAGGTTCATGAGAGACGTCATGATGCTGGTAGACCTCGGTTGTTTGACGACGAAGATCGAGAGGCATACTGGAATGCTACGGCAGAGACCCGACGACGTCTACACGAGTTATAGCAAGCAGCTTGGTTTAACTCAGTGGAAAGTTTGGTTCGTTTGCATTCGGCGAGGACTTTACCCTTTCCATTACACACCGGTTCAAGTATTAGAAGAAGGAGATCCCGCAAGAAGAATTGATTTTTGTCGATACATGCTTCATCGGGATCAAGAAAAAAACGACTATTTAACTAAAATATTGCGGACCGACGAGTCTATGTTTGACAGAGAGGGGACAACAAATTATCAGAACTTACATTATTGGGCCCCACGGGAGGCAATCCCAACATGGCAAAGCCAAGAGCCCATCAAAGAGATTTTCGGCAAACGTGTGGATGGGAATCATTCATACGTATCTAATTGGACCAGTTTTTTTGCCTGACAACCGAATGGCGAATCCGATGAAAACTTTTTGAGATCCGAACTCTGGGAGTATCTCGAAGACCTGCTTCTGAATATCAGGATGCAGATGATCTACCAACAGGATGGCTGTCCCGCGCATTTCCGTCTGGGTGTTAGACAGTGGCTGGACGAGAAATATCCTTGTCGCTGAATTGGCCGAGGTGGACCGACACCGTGGCCAGCGAGGAGCCCAGATTTAACACCGTGTAACTATTATTTATGGGGGGCACATGAAGTCACTGGTGTACGCTGAGCCCATAGACACTCTTGCACAGTTGAAAGAAGAATTATTGCTGCTGCTGACACTATCAGAGGACAACTAACTGGCCGGCATCACGCGTACCAACATGAGAAAAAGACTACGGGCTTGCATAAGAAAACGGCGGGCGTCAGTTCGAACAACAATTGCAATGAATTTTACTTCATTTCATTATTTGTATATTACTTACCAATTGTAGTAACTTTTAGTCAGTTTTTATTATTCTGTAGTACAATACAACTGTGTAAATAATCTAATCGTGTGACTTAACCGTAGTTTAAAATAATAACTATCCCATAGCTTACAGTTACATTATTTTCACAAAACACTTTCTTATCAATCAGAGAGTTGTGAAAATAAGAGACAAGCCATTGGTAAATTTACTCCCTATTGTTGTATTATAATACATTATGTTTAGTTTCACACCAGTTTTTGTGCACTTATCATACCAATTTAGATTCCTATGAAACACGGATATTATTTAAATTGTTTGTACGTTTTTTGTATACTGATTTTTTTGTTAAAACACCTTACTACTGTAAAACGTTATTTGTTTTTCTTAGTTAAACATTTTTGAATGAAAATAAATACGTTGTTTGGTATTGTTTTCGAATCTTTTTTAATTCATAATAGTTAATTATTGAAATAATAACCCAAAACCACAAAAAACAATGTTTAAATCGCCCAACTTTTTTCTCTCTCGACTTTTTTACTATGAATATGGATTGTTTTAAAAAAAATCTTCAATAACTTTTCAACCTTTGAATATAGGGTATGGTATTATATACCTAATTTCGATAGCAAAGGGGCTGTACTATCACCTCCTATAATGTTTTACACCTATTTACCTGTCACCCTGTATATGTGTGAATTATTCTTTTTTTACTGACGTTTCGGCCACCACGGTGGCCTTTTTCAAAGTACAAATGACAGTGGTCAATATTTCTACTTTTAAAAAGGCCACCGAAACTTAAAGAAGTTATTGACGCATATGTGGCTTCATGGAGTCAGCATGAAAACTACAGGATAAATTTCAGGTGTTATCATAGAGATGTAACGAAATTGTATGTGTACTATTGAATCACTTGCAAATTGAATTATATCAACGTGAAGCAAGTGAATATCCACATTTTTACTACGTATTGTTACAATATTACATAATTATTTATGTATATCAATTCATATACTATCTTAAACAATCAATATCTTTTTTTTTAAATCCACGGATGGCAGAACCTCAAAAGGTCGGGATTTGAGGACTATAGTGCGACAAATAAATATTATCAATCAAAAAGTAATTTTTTATTATTAAAATTAAAATTATTACAACAAAATACCTTTGTTGGCAACTCATGAGATTACAGATGAAACGTATGAGATCAAAATATGAGACAACTAAAACATATACTTATGGCATATTCGGAATATAAACAATTTTCATAAAACTTTAACCCTATTTATGGTTTGCTATTGGGATCGACGAGACAAGACAACGTCCTTTATTTTTAATTTTTGGCCTCATTTTGATCGCATTTTTTTAAAGAATAAGTCAACATTTGACCACTAGACGTAGTGTTCTGGAATATTGGAATATACTGAAATATCTCTTGCAGACAGAATACAAACAATCCTTATTTTTAAACCGCGTAATTTTAAATTTGTGTTTTGTTATTTTTCTGGACAATTTGTATTTCGCTGGGACTCTGGACATCATATGAGATGTCAGGACACTCCTGACGAATCCCGACCATCTGGTAACCCTACCGATAGCAGTCTTATTCCATGTAATAATTGGAAGTGGATTCATTAAATAAGAAATACATCACGTCCTATTTATAACAGGTATTCGTTCTCTAAGCCAACTTACCCCCTATCCTCTTAAATTCCTTGGCGATCTTGTGATACTGATCCGTATAAACACTGTTAAATTTAAGAAACTCCTCCATTTCTTCAGCTAATAATATTTATAAACGGAAACACCACACTGCACATGCGACTACAATTTTGCCTTGTAGCCACTCCGTTCTTTGAACTCTGTATTAAGCTTAAACCTGTCTCTGAAAGCCGATTTCACATTCTGGTGTAGTCGGAACCAAATTGAAATGTGCGCCTATACTATCAGCTGTCCTTGCTTGTTTTCTTGGATATATATGATAGACAGGGGCGTAGCTACCGCCATATCAATGGTACGGGGCCCAAAGCTTACAGAGCCCCCCAGCTTACAGAGGCCCCCACATACGAAAAAAATGCGTAGTGTTTCTTCACAATTTCACTTAAGTTTTTGGATCGTAAGCTAAATTAAAAATTCTCAGGCGCTAAGTGATAGTAACATGCTTCCTATTTCAACGTTCTAGATTACAACTGCAACAGCTGAAAGAAGCTTTTCGCAATTAAAATATCTCCGGACTTCTGTGATTCAACTTTTTCCCTTGATATCCATTCCCAAATCAAGTGGAAATGTGAAATTTTATTTTAGAGTATCGTGAAAAAATGGCAGGAACTGGAAGTGGCCGGTTATTGGAATGCTATCAGAAAAAATTTTACACGTCAAGCCGAAACCGGGTGATAGCAAAGTCTCATACAGCTATCAGAAAAATACTTTTATTTTAAATTTATGTATGTGTTTTGAAAATTATAGGTCTTTGAAAAAAATATAGAAATTTCACACCCTACGGCAGTCTGTCAACTCCTGTTACTACAAATATTAACTTTTTTTGGATTTTATTTTACAATGTAATGATGAATAATGCATCTTCAAACTGGTGTCTCAACCTTACTGCCAACTTTTCTCGTTCAGGAAAAATTGCCACTTATTTCCCAACCAAGTATTCCAAAGTAAAACTTTGCTCAACTTTAACTGGCTGTACTGGAAAAAAAATGTACTACGAGAGTTTGGCAAGTAACCTTAAAAGTTGGCGTATTTAATAAGGATTCCAAAATAGTATAACACTTAGAAGATTACTCGTTAACTTATGCACAATTTTTATTTGAAGAAAAACTGATGAAAATTTTTCAAAATTTCCTAATTAAACAGCGATTATGAAAACGCACAAGGACCCTTAAGGATAACTGTTTGCACAACACTGGGCGTCAAAATGCTGCTGATGATGATTTACCTTTACAGCAAATGCTCAAACTGTTTTCCTTCAGCCGCAATACACGCTCGACATCTTCTTAAAAAAGATCGGGTTATTAAACGAGCGAATCCACGGTTATTAACAAACTCAGCTGCTTCCAATAGTCTTTGCCGTAGCTCAGCTACATTTTGAATCGGCTTGAAATACACTTTTTCTTTTACAGTTCCCCAGTAAAAAAAATCTAACGGATTCAAATCTGGTGACCGGGCTGGCCACGGTATTGTACCAGACCGCCTTATCCATCTGCCTGGAAAGTTTTGATCGAGATACTCTCTCATTGAGAGTGCATAGTGCGCTGGGCAGCCATCATGCTGAAACCACATGTCCCTGTAAATACTCAGTGGCATGTCCTCCAATAAATTTTCTAAATGATTTTGCAAAAAACCTAAATAAACCTCAGCAGTCAAAGTCTCTGGTAACTCAAACGGATCGATTATTTTACCATATGAAATTCCTGTCCAATGGTTTATCTTGAAGCGATATTGAGATTTATCTTCTCTCATCAAATGTGGGTTTGCTACGTGCCACTCGTGTAAGTTATGCAGGTTCATGTACCCATCTTTCTTAAATGTGGTCTCATCTGACCATAACATTTTTTCAAAGAACCGTGGATCTTCCCTGTGTCTTTCTAACATTGTGCGACAAAAAGCAACTCGGGGCTCATAATCCCGGGGCAGAAGAGCTTGAACACGCTGTACGTGGTATGGATGGAGCACGTTTTTTTGCAAGATTCTATGGGCTGTACTTTTGGGCACACCTGTTTTTAGTTCTATTGCACGCACTGAAGTACTCGGGTCTTCTTCGACAGCTCCTAGCACCACGTCTTCGTAAGGAACGAAAGATCTTCCCTCACCGTGTGATTGGTTTGGCAGTTGGCCCTCTGAGAACAGTAAGCGGTGCACATTTGTGAACACTCGATGATCTGGATGACGAGCTGCATTCGGGTACCTCTCACAGTAAAGTCTCGCTGCAGCACTAGCGTTGCATCTGCATTCCCCATAAATGAGGTGCATGTTAGCATATTCTTGTACGGTGTACACGGACATAGCGGCACTGCACAGTCACACTATCAAAGATAGTCTAAGGAAAGCAAATGTTGTTTTGAAGAGCAATTAAACAGTCCAAATCCAAATCACAAGCGATCAACAGTCCAGTTCACGAATACAAAATTAGTAACAGTACGAAATCAACAAGCACGAACATGTAAAGATGCGCAGTAAACGAAGGAGTACTGATCGGTATCAAAGTGTGCAATAGCAAGTAAGTGATGTGCTTCATCTATACCACATACAGCGTGTTCAACCTCTCCTGCCCCGGGATTATGAGCCCCGAGTTGCTTTTTGTCGCACAATGTTAGAAAGACACAGGAAAGATCCACAGTTCTTTGAAAAAATTTTATGGTCGGATGAGACCACATTTAAGACAGATGGGTACATGAACCTGCATAACTTACACGAGTGGCACGTAGCAAACCCACATTTGATGAGAGAAGATAAATCTCAATCGCTTCAAGATAAACCATTGGACAGGAATTTTAAATGGTAAAATAATCGGTCCGTTTGAGTTCCCAGAGACTTTGACTGCTGAAGTTTATTTGGATTTTTTGAAAAATCATGTACAAAATTTATTGGTGGACGTGCCACTGAGTAGTTACAGGGACATGCGGTTTCAGCATGATGGCTGCCCAGCGCACTATGCACTCTCGGTGGGAGAGTCTCTCGATCAAAACTTTCCAGGCAGATGGATAAGGCGGTCTGGTACAATACCGTGGCCAGCCCGATCACCTGATTTGAATCCTTTAGATTTTTTTACTGGGGAACTGTAAAAGAAAAAGTGTATTTCAAGCCGATTCAAAATGTAGCTCAGCTACGGCAAAGACTATTGGAAGCAGCTGAGTTTGTTAATAACCGTGGATTTACTCGTTTAATAACCCGATATTTTTTAAGAAGATGTCGAGCGTGTATTGCGGCTGAAGGAAAACAGTTTGAGCATTTGTTGTAAAGGTAAATTATCATCAGCAGCATTTTGACGCCCACTGTTGTGCAAACAGTTATCCTTAAGGGTCCTTGTGCGTTTTCATAATCGCTGTTTAATTAGGAAATTTTGAAAAATTTTCATCAGTTTTTTTTCAAATAAAAATTGTGCATAAGTTAACGAGTAATCTTCTAAGTGTTATACCATTTTGGAATCGTTATTATATGCGCCAACTTTTAAGGTTACTTGCCAAACTCTCGTAGTACATTTTTTTCCAGTACAGCCAGTTAAAGTTGAGCAAAGTTTTACTTTGGAATACTTGGTTGGGAAATAAGTGGCAATTTTTCCTGAACGAGAAAAGCTGGCAGTAAAGTTGAGACACCAGTTTGAAAATGCATTATTCATCATTACATTGTAAAAATAAAATCCAAAAAAAGTTAATATTTGTAGTAACAGGAGTTGACAGACTGCCGTAGGGTGTGAAATTACTATATCTTTTTCAAAGACCTATAATTTTCAAAACACATACATAAAATTTTTTTAAATATTTTTCTGATAGCTGTTATGACTTTGCCTATCACCCGGTTTCGGCTTGACGTCGACTTCTGGGACACCGTGTATAACTGACTGATTGAAGACGCTGTAGGTAATTATCTTACTGTCACCGGTGAGCGCTACTGTGATATGTTGCAAAACTTTCTGGATTCCTCAAATCCAACAAATTAACGTGCAAAGCATGTGGTTCCAGCAAGATGGGACAACTTGTCATACAGCTAGGGAAGCAATGAATCTTTGGCGAACAATATTTCCGAGACGTTAAATTTTTCGAGTTGGTGATGTCAACTGGCCACCAAGGTCATCGGATTTAACGGCTCCTGACATTTTAATGGGGATTTTTGAGAAATAGGGTTTATGTCAACAAACCAAATACTGTAGAGCAGCCGAAGGACAAAATTACGGAAGCGATTGAAAATATTCCTCCCGAAACCTACCTAAAAGTGATGTAAAATGTAAAATAGGGTTCAGGTTTGCGCGGCTTGTAGAAGCGGACATTTGTCTGATATTATTTTTCATACTTAATTTCTAAGTTTCCTTAAAAGATTAAGATGAAAAAAATGGACGTATTTTATTTCATTTCACAAATATTTAAAACACAAACAAGTCAGTTACATATCGGCCACCCTGTATTTTTATTTTAAAACAATATAACCTTTTTTCAAAATATTAGCAAAATGCTCCTTGTAACGTAAAAATTCAGCAAATACTAGTCCTAAATTCTTTGCTTTGCCCACCACTGGAATCCTAATGCATGAATCTGTATACTTAAGGAATGGTCTATTGTCGGACGGAGACTATTAGAACAAAAGCTGTTTTGTTTATATTTATAAGGATTTAATTTAATAATAATAATTTAATTATCTCACAATTTCTGCAAGATCCGTATTACTTGCACGTACTGCTTGATGTGCAGAATCGGAGCTTACACAGTTGCGAATCATCAATGTAAGTTACCAGGGAAGAGTAAGATATAACCGTATAAATTCACTGATCAACAGCCAAAAAATATCCTAAATAAAATCAACAAAATATTACTATTTTGAATGTGCTAAAACCGGAATGAAACTTATTTTTTCAATGTTAGTTCAAGTTTTAGAGATACGGTAATTATATGTGTTCCTGCTGTGACAGTGTTAATATACTGTAATTCACAAGAATGCACGTGCTAAATTTTTATATTCGGCAAGGAAAGATGATGTAATCGGCATGATTGTGTTACGTTATACATACGTGTACATTATATTGTTTTATATTAGCCATTTTTTCCTCAGTTGGCTGACAGCGTTCATGCAAGATGTCTCGAAAGTGTGTAAACAATCCAGATCAGTTTTGTTACGTGTGTGGTGATGTGACTTTTGCGTCTCAGAGACGGTCTATTACTCCACTAATAACAAAGGCATATCAGCTTTATTTCGGTTGTAAACTAGGTGATCAAGACAA